TCATCATCATCATCATCATCATCATCATCATCATCATCATCATCATCATCATCTTCTTCATCATCATATACATGTATAAAACAGTTCATGCAAGAATGCTCCTTCGTCGACATTCACTACAAGGCTAATTAATTCAAAGTGAACTCACTAACACAAACCATAAATATTGCGTGCATTATGTTGACTTTGGTCATGATGCATACATTTCCCATCAAGGGTGAGAAGTGAAACAAGACTGCCCATACAAGCGGTCTATATAATATTATTATTATTATAGACTGGTTGGTACCCTGTGCCTATAAAACATTTGGATGGTCAGCTTCTTGATTTGGTGTCTGTTTGGGCATTCATCAGGGCTACCAAAGTTTGTTTGGTGGTTGCTTGAACATCATATAATTTAAAACAAAAAGATTTTAAAACACAACGAAAAGCTCCCCCCATTCCTAAAGTAGCAATGCATTATAACTGTTATTTTAAAACATATTATACACACAGACACACAGACACACATACATACACACACATACACACACAAACACACTCATACATACACACTCACCCACACACAGACACACACAAACACACACATACACACTCACACAAAGTAAAGAAAGGAAAACCTCTGAGCATAAAACTGAGTTAATCACGGAATAACAGACGGATTTTGAGAGATTTTCTTTTTACAATTAGAATGAAGATGACGGTATAACTTTACCATGAGATACAACCTTCAGCCCTGCTTGGACTGGTCAGTGAAAGATAACATAAAATCACTTACAATAAAAAAGATTTAGAAAGAGTTTTAGAAAAGAGACAGGTGTCGTATTTTAAAAAATACCACACGGTTTTGACAATTGTAAATTATTTGCGCGGGTAGTGTGGATTGTCTATGTTTGTGATATTGTGGGTGGTAGGCGGGTGGTCTGGTGTGGTTTGTTCCTTCTTTCCTATCAAACATCTATCTACCTTATCTTTCTTCCGTTTTATGTGCTCGTTACTCTTTTGATTTTGTAACGCCTCTTTGGCACTTATATGACCTAATTGTGTCGCAAGTGCTGTACAACAAAAAAAAAGTGTTTGTGACATTGTGTATTATTCATGTATTTATATTAACATAATAAGTATTAATGTATTTCCATCTGACCAGTTGAGCTGAGGCAACCTGCGTCCAAAAATAATGATACCGGTTATCTTAGTTGTGTTGATGGAGGCTTAAAAAATAAATTTGCAATCAGTCAACGATAACAAATATCAAAACCACCGACTCATAGCATCCAAAGAAGGGGAAAATGTGCGAAACAGTATGTTCACACGCCTTGCAAAAAGAATAAAAGCTCGTCCGTCAATGTCTGACGATGACCAATACATCCGCAAAGGAAAATATTTCTACAGCAGAACAGAAGAATTAGAATAGAAGAATAAAAGGTTGAGATGACTTGTGTTTTCTGCTGTGGCCGTGGGGATCAATTCTTGCTTAGAAAAGTTTTCCACATTTTGAACATTTAGAATCTCCACTTCCTTTTGAGGATGTGCACAGCTTGCGGGCTTCTCTCTTGGTTTCAGCTTTTCTTATTCGTGAATCCTTGCAATGCTGTGATGTAATTAATTAGGAGACATACCACACGAGAGCAGTATAGCGATACTCGATAACCAAAATATAAGTGAAAAATTATGGATACACTCACTTGCATTTCTGCTGTTTGGTTTTAGCACCGTCCACACCTTTCGCCATGTCAGAAAACGATACAATACTTGAGCAGCACGAAGATGGGACATCCTTTACAGCATTAACTGTGTCATCGACCTTTGCTTTGTCTTTGGCTGTGACTGAGGGGCAAATGGACGAAACCATTTAGCTACCCTTAATATTAATATAGTATAAAGCGCGTAGGGCTTGGCTGTGGGGCGGGGTTATTATGCGCTATACAAATTAAATTTGTTATTATTATTATTAT